GGTTCATAATATTATCTAAAAGAAAAAGTGATTAATTATTTCAGTATTATCAATAGATTTCATCTTATTTTATTTATAGTTAAATTTGAATATAAATAATAATATGAGTTTCAAATTAGATCTAAATTATATTTGAAATGTTTTTTTTAAATTTATTATATGTTTTTGTTTACTAACTAATAAGAATAGGTTATGTAACTTGAAAATCATGAATGAAAATGTAAAACATATGTAAAAGTAATGTGCAAAGATAACGATAAGAAATGTAACGGAAGCCCTCCAAACCCGAAAGGGACGGAGTATGAAATAAATAAGTAAATAAAATATTATGTGGCGGTTCAGGGATTATTCCTGACATTTAGTACATCTAAGTAACGGGAAAAACAATTTAATTTCATCTTACTTTGTAGAGGGGCCGTATAGAGGTGATAGGGGTACTATGGAGGACAGAAGAGGAAGTTTATGGGGAAAGACAACATGAATAACAATTTAATACAGCGTACACGCACAAACACACAGATACATGCATATAAACTATAGTATTAATTTTTCAACGAGTTTCGTTTCACAACTCTAGTTGAAGAAAGTTAGTCAAATACTCTATACAATTTGTCTATGAATAATGATAATAATAATAATAAAGACGATGACGACGACGCCAGTCGACGATGACGACGATGATGATTCCTAGAACTACGTTTAAAATTTTTTTTTTAATGTCCTATTTATGCAGGAAATTACCAAGTGTGATGTTCTGAAAATGTGAACAGAATCTTTTCGGTCAGGGAAGACGGTATATGGGCTATTTTGAAATTTAACTTTAATAGTTAACAAAACAATTATTAAACAACTAACAAACGATAATGTAATTAAAACTTTACTATTGACATTCTGGTAGTTGTGAAATAATTAGAATTCGAGGATTCTTAGGATTAGTATTCAAGAGTGATTAGATTGAGGTATAAGATATTAATCTAAAAGATTGACAGGGGGAAGGCTATAAAGTTTAATAGCAGAGTTCTTTAAAATCATAACCAAAATTGACTGCAATATGATATTTATGAGGATAATGATTTAAAATTTGATTATTAAAACTTATATAACGCATTTTTAAATCAGTTTCAGTGAGCACCTACAAGACATAATTTGATCCGGAAGCCAGTAATTCTTTTGCATAGCTATGAAGTTAATTAAAACCTGCTAAAAAAATGAGCACTATTGTATTCCCTGCTATGCTTAATTTGTTGATTAGGTTTATTGCTTCTTAGGATTTGAACTATTTAAAAGTTAATTGCGTAGCATCTGAGATATATAGCATCTCAGGCTTTAATAAGTTGTTTTTCTCAACAGTTAGTTTTAAATTTAGTGTCAAAAGGCTTTAACAACATATTAAATCTAACAGTTATTCTGGCACTTAAATATTTATCTATATTTCTATGATTTTTAAAAACACAATTGAACTAATAAGTAATCCAACAAAAATTTTGTTTAATAAACTTACCACATTTCTTGCAGATCGCTTATAATTTTTCGTCTTACTTCTTCATACATCAGAGAAGGCTCATTGTACCTCTCAAAAGCAATATTTTGTTTAGACAGCTCATGGTACATAGGATCATTAAGTTTTTCTATGAGCATATTTTCGTCGTCTTTTTTTTTTTTCATTGAATTGGAACTGCTGAAAAAAAGTATCGTCTGACTTTTAAATAGTGTTTATAATATGATTAATTAAACATTGTTTGAATAAACTACATTTTTTTAAACTTTTCAATCACTCCTAATGGTTACAGATTTCAACCACTCCGAAAGAATTAAACGCTAATTTAAGACACATTACTACTAAGATCCACAGAAAAAAAAATATCTGCAAAAGTATTTTTCTATCTTAATAAAATTAAAAATTCCAACTTACAGTATGTAAAGTTATTCCCAAAATATATATCATATCCGGTACGAACGTCATTAAGTAATACTTTATTGTGAAAATTTCATTCAATGTGTATTTTACAATGACCGTCTGTTTACTTAGAAGAGCAATAAAATTTGAAGAAAAGATTAGGGACTCAAAAATTAAATTAGCAAAAGAAGGCATAAGAGAAAAAGATAAAGATAAAGAAAGAGAAAACATAGGAAGAGTAGCAAAAAAGAGAATGGAAATATTAAAGGAAGAAGAAGTAACAGAAACAANAAAAAAAATTTTTTTTCTCTTATCTCGCGGCTTTATTACCAGAGCAACAGAGTCCTGGATCTTAATCCCTACATTTTTTATCGCCACAAAAATACAAATACATTTTGAACTTATTTGAAAAACTGAAAGATTTCAGAGATTGCTGTGAGGGTACAATGAAAAGCTGATCTCTCACGTAGATTCTTTATTCGTCAATTTTAGCGCTGCTGTTCCAATCTTGATAAATTTCCTGCGTCAGTTTCTTGACGCCTGAAATGGTATTTAATAGATACCATTGAAGTTTTTCTTTCTATTCACCCTCTTGCGACTTTGAGTATGCTTAAGACTTTTGTGACCTCTAAAGGCTGTTTTCTGTCAACTTTGTTGGGTTCTAATATATTTGTTGGCAAGAGAGTTCGACGTCCGATTGCCCTAAAAAACGGTGAGTTTCTTAAGTAAACTCTTTCTTGACTGAAGTTAACAGCAATTGTGACTGCCTGGATACCTCACGGTGATCTTCTCTGGCCTGCTGTTTAAGCCCCAGACTAATCAGGAGAAAAATTATCAAGTCCGAAGCTTTGGAGCTAGTTATAGAGATCTTTTCCAACGTTTCCTGGTATAACATCAAAGACGTTGGTGTCCAAAGCACCTTTTTTTTTGCAGACTCAGTTATTTTGGTGATCTAAGATAGGGAGATTGGTTCGTGATGCTTGCCCGTTGGAGACTGTCCCGTTGGCTCAAGTTTTTTTTCCTTTCATAGCTGTTGGGTTCGCCCAGCGCAGACCTTGGAGAGGATTGGTGATTTCTGGTTGAATGCTTAAAGTCGAGAGGATAATAGAGGGTCATTGGTCACCGGAATTCCCAGCCTTACGAAGAATAACTCCGTTCGTGACGACTGTCAGTGAATGACTGACTTGGTTTAACAGTGGCCGTCTTTAGTTAACATAGTCTTTTAGTCGACAAATTGCTTCAAGAAATGGCAGTAGAAATGTATTTATTGGCAAGGTAGTTTAAACTTAGGTGGCCCGTGAAAGAACCAATGAGTGGTTTGTTTAAATTTTATCAGTGCCCTTCGAAGAAATTAGAAATTCAAGGTGATCAGTGATCCGTTAGGAGCGAGATGTGAGAAATAAATAAACGCAACTAGAGTGTATTTAAATTTTTCCCTTCTTTTCTTTAATTAATGCGTAACGTTTCGCTGACATATGTGTCAGCCTCATCAGGCGCAGGCACGCGAGAATTCGTAAGTGTATTGACTTACTGGTCACCTGTCGAACTATTGACTGACAATCCAGACATTGATTGATGGTCAAGTAGGGAACGTAAATACTTATAATGGCTCTAAAAAGGGCCAGGGGTAAAACTTTTAGCTATTCCATATTATTATTCCTGATGATAAAGAGCTAGCTACAGGTAGCTTGACTCTTACCCTTGAAGTCTCTATGTACGCCGCTGACCACAGAATATCTCGTCTTTACGTCGTTCTCCGGATAACTAACCACTCATCGTTAGTCGGAAAAATGTGGGTATGCCGTTGGGGACACGACCACTGAGAAGGAAGCCGTTGTGACTGCCCGTGCCCCTTAGGGCTGTCTTCCTTGGCTTACATTTGTAGCCAAAAATTCTGTGACGGCACCAGGTGGGATGATGGAACGGCCACACAACTGTGAAGTGTTGGAGCAGGTGGTGCTCTGGCTAGATACGTCTTCTGGTATTCCGTCGGAGACGTTATCGGTTAGAATAATTTTTTTTTGGGAGGCACTCGTCAATCCTACAGATTCAGGGTGGATGCAGGCCTGGGTCACTTGCCCATTAAAGAAAAGCGTCATTGGTAACCGGGACCCAGCTGCACGACTATCATCAACATTCTTGGTGCAGCTCGATAAACTGCCGGTAGACGACTGCAGAAATTTTTGAGACGCTCCAGCCTATTATAACCACACGTATTTAATTATGTTGCAGGTAGCCTCGACTTTATGTCGACGCCACCTAGCGGATCCTACTGAACCTAAGTAAAGAGCTGGCGCATTTTTGCCAAATTTTGAGCTTATTTATTGCTATTGTTATTAAATTTTTTAAGATAAAAACTATACTAAAACCATCTGGGAAGTGTCAAGAATCGGTAGCAAAATTTCAGCAAAATCGGTTCAGTTGTTTTCGGGGTTAGCGATTACAATGGTTTTAGCGACTTTGCTTTATATGTTAGTAAGATAATGATAAGCGTAAAATATATTTCAGTGAGGGCCTCATATGGGTGCAATGAAGCATTGATTATCTTCTCTTAAAGGATTAATAACATTATAAGAAATAAATAACTGTATTATATCGGCATGTTAAGTTTTGTAAAGACTTAAAAACATACTTCATAAGGCGTTTAAAATAAATTATTGAGGGCATACGAAGAACTAACCTACGATTCAACACCGGAAAAATTATGGGCCTATACAGCTTCGAACTTCGTATCGTATGAATTCAAGCTTACGCTTAGTCGAGCAGCAGTGCCACGCTCAGCACACTGTACCACTTATGAGATAATGAAACTACGTATCTACCAAAAATGGGTAGGTATGCATCCTATGAAAACGTGGCCACAATACAGTCGCATTGTAAGACTTTTGCACCACCATTGATAGCTGGTCCTACGTATCATAGTACATGGTCTTGACTTCGGACTCTGTGGAACCGACTCAAGACCACAGGTGGGCACGCGCAGCAGCAATAAGGGATCGTTTATAGTATCGCTACTAGCCGCGGCGTGCCATAATATTAGTGAACCTATATTTATACTTATAACAATAGCGAGCCGCAGCTGTAGTAAAAATACGTAGGGTGTCTTTATATGTATGTGAATATTAATGAATGTATAAATTTTATTACACCAGATTCCTTAAAAAATTAAATTAGAAAGCATATATTTTTTTGAGATAATGTTACGTATGTCTATGAATATTAAAAATCTTATCGTACAGTAAGAAATTATCCATGGTATATGTATACAAAATTATGTTTCTTTTTAAATTTTTTATCAAGCAATAATTTTTATCCAATCATCGCAAGCGATATTCACCTCAGGTACATATAAATAAAAAAAAAAAAAAAAAAACACAAATTATGATGAGGTATAATATAATACTTGAAATATTTTTTGTTAAATAATAATAGTTCTACTCTTGGTATTTTAAATATGCGTATCAACATTTTTCAACCCAACAATCTCGATTAACCCTATATTCGGTGTGTCTTACGAAGCGCGAGAAACACAGGATACAGAGACCCTCTCCATCTCCCTGCAACCACAGTAAAATAGTGATGTTAGAGAGAAATGCTAAGGGTCTCTGCATGCAAGTAACGTAGGACATCATTCAGCTTGCTTTGCAAGCTTTATTGTCATATCCCTATACTTTTAATATGTTTTAATGAAACATATTATAAGTTTAGAAAAAAAAGTATCTTAAAAACTATGTAAAAAATGTTAAAAATCGACCAATTCTAAAATGTTGTAAGCAAAGAAGGGTTGCCGAATCCAAAAATCATTCCAGAGAGAAGATTACACTACCACGATTTGGGGGTTGTTGCTGGAAAAAAACGTGTATTTCAATTACATTGTTAATCAAACAAACAAAAATCTACTTTATAAAATACTGCATGTAATTTATCAACAATTTCAAGATCTACCCAACTCTCAGATCAATTTGAGACTCGTTTGAGTTGATGTTATAGTTCTATGATTACAAAGGAAGCTACGCTGACTTTAGTTTCGAGTCATCAGGACCGTAGTTACTCAGTAATAGTATCAGCAAAAAAATTATTTCTGTGGCAAAAAAATAGCAAATAATTAGCAAAAAAATATGGAGTAAGTTTTATAACGGCCCTATTACTTGGCTACGCTAGCTTTATAGACAATAATTCTTTGCCTTCTGGATGGTATGGAAAAACGGATGAGAAAGATTATGTTTAAAATAAGTTATAAGCTTGTTAAAATTACTTTCTTTCTTCAACCAATTTCTGTATGTCCATGGAAGATCTGTGGAGCGGCAAGACAAATTGTACCAACAGATATTGGCGGGGGACTTCCGTTGTGGACACGTAGAAGAGTGGACGTGTAAAAGTAAGCTCCTAAATAAAGCAATAAATAAAAGAAAGAGCAAGGGCGGATAGCTGTAATAAAGTCTTTAAAAAGTGGTGAAATACATGAGGACTTAATAAACGGTGACAAAAAGTGAAAAAGAAAGTGAAACAGGAGGATTATAAAGGATTGAAAAACAGGTAGGACAGAGAACGCGAAAGACGAACAAGACGCCGATGCAAGTCGCAAAAGAATAAGTGCAATCGTATGAACAAAGGAAAAAGTTGTATACGAAGGAAAAGGGAGAAAGAAAGAAGTGATAATAATTAAAGAAAAGTGAACAGTGATTAGTGAAAAAGTGGACAAACAGGGGTATAGAAAAAGTGAGGTTAGGAAACACAGTAAGAAGGAAGGGCACAAGTAGGGAAAGGTGATTTCTTTTTAT